AAGCCAGCAAGAAGGGGGGTGTGGTAGGAGAGGGGACGTCAGGCCCACATGCCCTATAAAGTCTACAAAGTCATTTGGTCTGGACCTGCCAAGGCATTAAGGGTGAGTTAATTAAATGTTTGACCAAATAGAGCAGGCTAATTTTTAAGTTGATAATTTTTTTATGGCCCTCGAATAATGTTATAAATATCCAAATGGCCCTTGGCAGAAAAGAGGTTCCCCACCCCTGATTTGGGGGCTGATAATACACACCACAGAGCTATTGCGAAGAACAGAAAAGATACACGGTGTATACACACTTTAGCAACTGATAGCTCAGTTTTGAAAATGAAATATATTTTAATAAACACTGCCTTTATAAGTATTACAAGTTTGTGTATACATTTTTGGGGACAACCTGAATGTAAGGCACGGGGGACAGAGCCTGCACGTGGCTGGCGCCTGTAAATCTAGCCATTATTTTTCAAAATTGGAAAGGAAAGTTGAACGCCAAGTTAAGAAGACTGTGGTAAAGTGGCCACCTATAACTAATATTTTATAACTAGAGGCCTGGTGCACGAAATTCATGCATGGGTAGGGTCCCTGGGGCTGGCCAGTGATCACAGCCAATTGGGGCCTTCCTTCCTCCAACTGCCAGCTGCTGGCTGGGGCCTTCCTTCATTCTGCCTGTCCCCTGGTGGTCAGTGTATGTCATAGCAAGCAGTCGAACTCCAGGTCAGTGGAACTCCCGAGGGGACAATTTACATATTAGCCTTTTATTATATAGGATATTTTCAGCCTCCCAGTAATGCTGTTGACTGGTTGACAGGCATTAAGAAACACCAGTTTGTTTCCGTTAGTGGTCAGTTTGAATTAGATGATCCCAGGCTGTTTTGCTCATTGTTCTTTTTTAGAAAACCCTGACTTCATGAAAGCTCCCTGCATGGGGCACTTGAACATGTGTTGTTATCAAACTGATCAGAATTGGGACTGGCTCTAAAGTCTTGATTTTATTAGCCAATCTGACTTACAAAGCTAGGTAAGCCAGAACCCATAGTTGTTAGGAAAGATTAAATCAATACCTTTTGTAGCTCTTAGAGCTGAAAAATCATTATTTCAAAACAAAGATATATAGGTATAACCATTTTCAGGTCTGATCAATGTTGATAAATTTCCATTCATTATTTCATACTTTTTAAACCTTTTTTTTTTTTAAACTGGTGTAAGGATAGTGCATGTTTAGGTTATAATGCAGAAATATAAATAAAAAATATATGTAAAAAGAAAATAAAGTCGCTTACAGTCTCTCTAGCCAGATATAACTGTTGTTGAAATTCTGATGTAATTCTTTTTTATTTGATTTACCATGCATTTACTAGTATATAAGTAAAAGAATTCCCTGTAAGTTGGGATCATAGTATATTGTCTTGTATTTTACTTTTCTTTTTCTATCTTGAGCATTTTATCCTGTTGCTGAATAGGTGTAGAAAGTATGATTTGATTGGCTACATTATATGTAATACCATAGTTGAATCATTCCTCTACAGAGCATTTTGTTTTCAATTCTACATCATTGTATATAACATTGTTATGAACATACATGTTTATTTTTTTAAAATATATTTTATTGTTTTTTTACAGAGAAGAAGGGAGAGGGATAGAGAGCTAGAAACATCGATGAGAGAGAAACATTGATCAGCTGCCTCCTGCACACTCCCCACTGGGGATGTGCCCGCAACCAAGATACGTGCCCGCAACCAAGGTACATGCCCTTGACCGGAATCAAACCTGGGACTCTTGAGTCTGTAGGCCGACGCTCTATCCACTGAGCCAAACCAGTCAGGACTGAACATACATGTTTAAAAACGTTTGAGGCTACCTCTGATTATTTGTCTGGGTTAAGTTTCTATATGTGGAATTTTTTTGGAAAAATAAATGAAAAAAACTTAAAGCTCTTGATATCTACTGGCAAAATTTTCTCAGAAAGTTTTTTTTTTTTAACTTATGTTCCCTCCCAGTAGAAGTATAGTGAGAATGTCTATTTCCCCTTCATTATTATTTCATAATAACTCTTCTTATATTAAGAATAGTAATTCTTCAGTTGACAAAATATGTTGCAATTTCTGCCCTACTTGTTTGTCATTTGCCTTTCAACTTTGGCAGAATGGTCTTTTAACTTACAGTCTTTTAAAGTACATCCCATTTTTATTTTACTAGAGATTACCATTACATTTTTTTATTGAATTATGTTTCTATCAATGTAAATATCAAACAGTATGTAGTGATACTGCTTTGCAAATGCTGAGAAATTTATTGAATTTTTACTTATTTTCTCCATATTCACCAATTTTTATTGAAATAATATGAGATTTTCAACCTAGGTGATTATAAGTAAATTGTTCATTTATAATGAACTTATCATTTGATATTATTTTTATATTTGCATCTAGTTTTATTTCCAGCTTGATAACAATTACTGTTATTTTTTTATTTTTTTTTAAACAGCCAAAGCAATCTTTTTAAAAATATATATTTTATTGATTTTTTACAGAGAAGAAGGGAGAGCGAGGGGGATAGAGAGTTAGAAACATCGATGAGAGAGAAACGTCGACCAGCTGCCTCCTGCACACTCCCCACTGGGGATATGCCCACAACCAAGATACATGCCCTTGACCGGAATCGAACCTGGGACCCTTGAGTCCGCAGGCTGATGCTCTATCCACTGAGCCAAACCGATTAGGGCTAACAATTATTTTTAAACACTGAGATTTGCTAGTTTTATTGAACAGGTTAATGTATTTCCTTATTCTTAAGTTTTTAACATTGAATTTTTCTATCAGTTGGAGCACTTCTTTGGCCAATACTTTTAGAAAGGACCCGTGGGCACGCCTGAGTCCTTTGATGTCTAGAAGTACCTTTCTGTTGTTATGGTGAACACCTGAGAGTTGACTGTTCAAAATTCATATGCTATTTTGGTTATTTTTTTTTCAGTTAGTAGTTTCTCTCTCTCTCTCTCTGTTTGTAAGTAGGTTAAGTAGGGTTTTCAGAAAATTATATCAAGGGATAACTAGCCCAATACTATTTTAACCAACTGGCCTATAATATCATTATTCAGAAAGGCAAATTAAATGAAGAAGTAATGTATTTCTCCAAAACTGCGTGGACATTCGGTGTGAGATAGAAGCAGCCTTCAGGAGGACTGTAATTTATGGATCACGAAGCCTCTGGTCTACTTGAACTCTTTAGCTGCTGGCTTTTGGCCATTTCATAAGGAGTCACATCACAGATATTCTGAGAGGTTTTGAACGGCATGCTTGCTTTCTGCTAGTGTAGAAGCCTGGGAGTGCCAAGGATGTCAAATCTAAGACCTGGGAAAGTTAATTCTGTGCACACATGCCATCATTGCAATCTGTTAGCACATACAGACTGATTGTGCTCTCACCTACTTTTTCTCATTGTAGAAAATTTTTATGTGTATTAATAATTTCACCCTGAAAATATAAGGGAAGCTGATTACCGTGGAACAGGCCTATCTCCTCTTGATTTAATCTCTTTTTTCTTCTTGATGTGTTTATTTTGAGTAGTACCACTTTAAGGGCTGAGGTTGAGCATACTAATATCAGGTATTTCAGACATATGAGGAAGAAGTGGGAGCAGAGAAGGTGAAGGGCAGTGCAGAGCCACCCACTTGGAGCATGATCGCTTCAGGGAAAGGAATCATATAGTGGGGCTGGCTCAAATTGGAGTTGATTATGATGTCATAAGAGTTGCCATTTGTTAATTTAAATATTAATTGCCTACTGTCAGCTGTAGTTGAGCAAAAACAGATATGTTTCTGAAATGCACCCCCTGCCCAGTTTTCATTTTTGCTGGATTTCCCATAGAAAATTGGTCTGACTCAGTTGTCAAATGAATTTTTATTGCTCAGATAATCTTTTATGCTGTTTTGTAGTAAACCGGACGTTAACACCTTCAGTTTTTAATCAAAATTATTTTTAACTTGGGGATGTTTTAAATGTAGAAAGTTTGCCATAGATTCAGTGGGACTTCTGTGAGGGGATTATAAATTATTTTATCTGAAGCCCGAGTTTAAATGAATCCTCTCCCCCCATGCCTCAGTTTCCCCCTCTGCATCATAAGAACAGTCACCTTTTTACTCACCCACGTTAGTGGTTAAGGAAACCACGTTTTGTCAAACGGCTAAGTCTTCCGGGGCAGGACGCTACGTTTGTCTACTTCCTGTACTGATGCCAGGCTGGATTGCTGATGATGGAATATGTATAAGCCAGGCTCATTGGCAGAGAGGGTGAGTCACACGCACTGTGGACATTCGTTTAGTCAACAAATGCTCCAGGAGCATCTGCTATGTGCCAGGTGCTATACCAAGCACTGGGAATTCAGGGATGGAAGTGACGTCTGACCTTTGTCCTCCGGGCACTGCAGAAGGACGAGAGGAAGTCTGGATGAGCATTCTAGCAGGCCTCCTGCGCCCTGCAGTCTCTAGAGAATGCGGTCTCACCACCTTCTTCTCCAAGGCCACTCATTTACTCTTTAGTTGTGCCTTTCTGTGGAAGTCAGAAGGCATATTATACGATAGATGCACATAATTGTGTTATGTTGTAAAGAAACCTTACTTACCTTGTCATTGTAAATTATAACTACATCCTGTTAGGAGAGGAGAATGTCATAAAATATTGAATGGTAATCATTTAAACTTGAAAGCAATGCTTGTTAACCCTGATTGTGTATTGGAATCATCCAGAGAGCATTTACAAACCCTACTCTTACTCTTCATTTGTGTTGTCTGGGGTGAAGCCAGGGCATTGGTTTGGGTGGCGTGGATGGGTATCAGTGAAGGGATGAATAAACATCTCATAATGTATCAAGGAGAACATCTGAGCCAAGCAAATGTAAGGGCAGATCATGTAAAAATAAAGCCGGAGGTTATAGACGTCCACAAAGGTCAGTATCACAAAGTCCCAAGAACATGGGCACTGGCACCAAATTTGGGATTTGTGCCCTTTAGCAGCTAAAGCAAAGGGAAATGTAATCACACGCATAACCCACCACTCTGGTGCCTATTAGATTAAAAGTAAACCAGTTGTCCATGAAAGTCAGCTTTTGTCGGGACCAAGACTAACACAGGGAAATGAAGAGGACCCCGGATGATGAGGTGTAGGACACGGTGAGCACATCTAGAGGGGAAAAAATCGGTAAGGTTCTTCACAATGGAGGCTGATGGCACAGTCAGAAAGGCCTTGTGTGAATGAAATGCTAAGTCTCCAGGCCTTTAGGGAGGAATGGTCTCTGCTAGGTGCCTTCCATGTGTGTTATTTCCTACAACCCAGCTCCACTTGGCGGCCTCTAACTCCTCATGTCCTTGGTCATTTGGCCGTATCATCTGTCACTAACCCTTCTCTAAATGGGCTTTAGCTATACTGGCTAACTCAGTGCCCCTTGAACAGAGCAAACTCATTCCTACTCCATGGCCTTACTTTTTTTTTTTTTAATTTCCTCAGCATGGAATGCTATTTTCCCTGATTATTGCATGGCCGGTAACTCATCATTCAATATTTCGTCAAATGCCAGCTTCTTCACCCTTTTGCTGGTCGTGTTCTATCACATTACTTACTATGCTTGACATTTTTGCAAAGCCCTTTTTGCCATCTGAAATTCTCTTAGTGGTTAGCTTACTTGGTAATGGCCCTCTCTACCTGTAAGTCTGCTTGCTGCCATGTGACCAGTTCCTAAAATGGTGCTTGGCACTGTAGCTGCTCAGGAAATACTAGTTGAATGAATAACCCTATGTGTTCATAGGCTATATTTTTGTCTAAGTACAGAGCCAGAGCCTTTCTCAGTCAACCGAATTGGAAAGCAGGCTGACATCCTCTCAGTTAAAGGGGAGACACAGATAAGGACACCTGGCCAACCTAAGCGCCACCTCTCATCTGTGGACAGTTTGCAGACATGCTTTTGAAGACTTAATTATCCTCTTCCTACTGTTAACTTTACAAACAGTGACCTGAAACTGTATTATTCTAGCGGTGGTGACTTTTTACTTTATAATCGCTTGCTTATGTTTAAACTTTAGGTCCTGAGCAAACCTACATGAAACTCCATTTTTTCCTGTGACCGTGGGAGATTTTGTGGCCTCTCAGCCTTAGTGCCACATTGTAAAGTAGCATTACAATGATAGTAGCTACCACCTGAGGTTGTTTTGAAAATGAAAGGAAATGATCCTTGGAAAGCATTTAGCATCAAGCCTGGCATACGGGATACCCTGACAAGAAGTTATTGATGATAATACTATTATTAGTAATGCCAATTATAATATTGGCTTATTAATTATTATGATTACTTTCCCCTTGTCTCTTCTTCTAATCCACTGATTTCAGAAATGGCATAACCATGACCTGCTTTTATTTACTTCCTGAATATCCATGCCAATCTGACTTGAATTAACTGAAAATAAACCCAAACCCAAAACACTCAGTAGCACCTTAGGTCATTTCAGTGTATTGTTACCAGTGCCCGTGACAGGTTTTGTGCAAAGAGGCAGTTCTCCTCACGGCGTGACCTCTCTCTCTTTTCAACGCCTTGCCCACCTTGTGTGGACACAGAGGAGAAGGCCAAGAAGGAAGCCGAGGAGAAGGCCCGCCTGGCCGCGGAGGAGAAGCAAAAGGAACTGGAAGCCAAAGGCCCGGCAGAAGGCGCAGCCGGCAAGGCGGACAAAAAGACACCCGGGGAAGCTCGGAACCAAGTCAACGGAACGCGCCCCAACAGGAGCGACAACGCTCGTGGGAAAAACGCCAAAGAGAAGTCGCCAGGAGGAAAGCAGCAGAACGGTGAGTGGCATCACTCTGGGGAAAGGCTCTGCCAGGGGTGAGTGATAATGTCACTGACATTTAATGAACGCTTACCGTGTGCTGGACATTGCTGGTGAGATTTCATGTTCACGAAACCATTTAAAAATCCCAACAACGCTGCGTGGGGCCTACACTCATCCCCATTTTGCAGGCGAGGAAACCGAGGGTCAGAGAGGTGAGATCACTGGCTTCAAGCACCCTCTAGGTAGTAAGTGCAGGTCTATGTGAGGCCAAATTCTGTAATCCGTGGTCAGCAGGTTGGTACTGTTGGTGGGAGGAAGAAATAGGAGAACTTGAATGGCTTAAACCAGGTCAATCGTAGACAAGATGGGCAAGATTGGGACTCAGCCGCAGTCCACGAACACCCTGTAGTCTGTTTACTGCAGGGCTAACCACCCCTCTGTAGAGGACCAGAGAGTAAATATTTGGGGCTTTGCAGGCCATGCGGGCTCCATAGTAGCTGCTCAGTGCTGCTGTTTCAGAGTGAAAGCAGCCAAAGGTAACACGTAAGCAGGTGAGCGTGGCTGTGTTCCCATACAACGTTATTTATCAAAGTGGAAAGTTGAATTTTATATAGTTTTCCCACGTCATGAAATATTCTTCTTTTTCCACCTTAACCATTTAAAACATGTAAAAACCATTCTTAGTCTGTGGGCCATATGAAACCACGGCAGGTTTGGCCCACGGGCCATGGTTTGCCAACCCCTGGTCTGGTCAGGGAGAGAAGCAAATGAGCACAGTGGGCTGGATACCAGGAGGGTGGTGCGTTCTGGGGAGAGGGACCAACAAATGCCCCAGAGCTGGCAGAGGTGGCAGTAAATGCTCCGTGGTGGCCAGGGGAACCTGGGAGAAGCAGACAGGAGCCTGAGTCTCCAGCGAGCCTGGGTGAATTTCACAACCGTGTTGATTTCCCAAAGTAAGCAGTTGTCTACCATTTCCCTTAAAATCTAAGTATGAAATGAGAGGTGGGAAAAGAAATCAATTTAGAGCGATAATCAGAAAGGCTAATGGTGGTTCGGGACTGAGTTGCAGCAGCCTAATTAAAATGATTTATAACCACACGCACGGGCTCTTCTGTTCCGCCTGCTCATTGGGTAGCAGCTCACAGCAGCCATTACTCCATACACAACCCGTGGGAAATTACCTAATGGGTTTCGTTGAGGAACATCATCAAACAAGCACGAGTCACTTTCCCTGCGCCCTGCCTTGTGGCCGCCCGAGGTATTTCCGGGTAAGAGCTGAAGGACCCTGGACGAGTGGGGTTCTGGGGGTTTGGGCCCTGCTAAGCGGTGGTCTCCATCTGGGCACTCCCCAGGGGGTTTGGGCCCCTAGCAGCAATTACAGGATCTGCTAAGCGGTGGTCTCCATCTGGGCACTCCCCCCTCAGCCTCCTTAGCCCTGACCGAGAAGGCAGGCTGCCAGGGGCTGCTGGCTACCATCTGGCAAATCAAACTGCTCCTGCTGGTTCTGGAAGGCATCCTGGCCTTGCTGCATCTGTGGGAAAAGCTCTGGTCCAGGGCGACCTGAAAGGCTCAGTATAGAGTGCGTTAGGAGTGTGAAGCTCAGTGAGTAAAGAGAGGCCTTTTTTCTATAGGCAGTTAGTGTGACTACAAGGCTCAAGATCCTCGAGTTCATCTCTGCCATCCTTAAAACAGGAATGAGCCAGTATATGAACTGTTTCATGGCACCTCCACAGGAATTCATCTGTTTTAACCATTGGTGATGGTAAAAGGTGACGACCACATCCTTTACTTACACTCCTCCTGCTTGTGGCTGCCCTTCCCCTCCATCCCTCCAGCCAGTACAACCTATTTCAGAATTAAGAATGAGGAAATTTGGAGAGTTTATTGACTTCTAACATAGCTTAGGATTTGTCACATTTCAGTAAAAGTACTAGTACTTACTTTGTAAAAGACATCACAGTCAAAAATGGCCTTGAATTCTTAAATAGCCATTTATCAGTCTGAAGGTCAAAGGCATTTAGAAATGGTACCATCAATACAAGCTAGAAGTCTAAAACTTGAGCTTCCTATGAAGGTCCCAAAATATAGTAGTTGAGAGGCTGGCCTCTACAATCAGACCCATCTGTGTATATATTGTGGTAAGTTACTTTATTTGTGGCATAACATGGAGATGATAGGGGTTTCACATCAATTCTTTACAGGTCGATTTAAGCAAAATCTCTTTGTAGAAACACCAATTGGCCATTTGTTCAAAAACTGTCAGGCAAATGGCTTAAACCAGGTCTATGGTAGACAAGATGGGCAGTTTCAGAGGGAGACCCACATGCAAGGTCAGGGGCAGAGGTGGGGCCGGGTGAGTGTATGAAGCCCAGGACTAACCAATGTGGAGACAGTTGGCTGCAGTGAAGGAAAAACTCGAACTGGGAAAACCTCCTCAATCATTTGGTGAGTGAGTTGTTCAGCAGATGGATCATTTAGTGAATTGAACATGGATGAATTTGTCTCCTGGCAATAACAGCACCTTTATAATGGGTTGTTATAAGAATTTAATGAAGTGGGGCACACTGCCAGGCACAAAGAAAACAAAAAAGGTCAATATTCCTTGGGCCCGGCTTGCTCCTTCCTGGTTGCAATTATTATTAGGGTCCTTTTGCTTCAGTAAGCACCAGGATGTTAGTGGCAATGCATTCTTGGGTTTACACAGGCTGAAAAGAAAGCTCCTACTAGAAAGTGGTTAGTAAAGTATCCAACACTTAAGAATAGCACTGGGGGCAGGGGTGCCGTGTTTTTTCAGTATATCACTGGCATATTGTTGAACAGACTGTGGGGTGAGGTGGGGAGGTGGGAGTGGAGTGGGGGTGAGGTACCTTCTCTTAAACAGGTGTCAGCAGCCTCTCTGAAGGGCTGGATAGTAAACAGTGCTGGCTTTGTGCATCTCTGATGCAACTATTCAACTCTGCCAGTGCAGCAAGGAAGCAGCCCTGAAATATGTAAAAGAAGGAGTGGCCATGTTCCAATAAAACTGTATTTACAAAGGCAGATAGCAGGCTGGACATGCTCAGGGGCCATCATTTGCTGACCCCTCCTCTAGGTGACTTTGTTGACTTTGTCATTTACTATTTGATTCAAGCCCAGGCCTGTGAAGTTAGATTTTTGACTGGTGGAGGAGATGACCCCAAAGGTTATGGTATTATTGCCTTGTAGGACATAGTCAGTTTCGTCTCTAACCTAGCAATCTTATTTTAACACATTTTACAAATACCTATAAATATCCAGTTCCTGAAATACTTCTGGAACCATCCTTACTATCTCACTCATTCCCTCATAAATTTAGATGTGTTTTGACATTTTCATTCTACATTTGCGTGCTAGTGTTTTTTAACTTTTGCCAATTACATTTTGACAAGCTCCTTAATTAGAGTGCTATTTATAGCTCTGTTCTAGAATAATAACAATTGTCATTGAATGATTGTTATTGACTTCAGATACCACATTCAGTACTTGAAATGCATTTGTCCATGCATTATGCCTATAAATAGGTATTGATATTCCCGTTTCACAGATAAGGACATGGAAGCACATAGAGGTTAAAAAGCTATTCATTGACATCACTTACGTTAAACCCAGGCTGTTCCTCACTCCACAGCCTAACAATAAAGTTGAGCTGCCTTTCTCGATGATAAACACGGTTGCCTTAAGTACAACCCTGTTAAACAGGAACTTTCAATTAAATATATATATATATATTTAGAGAGGGGAAGGAAGAGGGACAGAGAGAAACATCATCAATCAGTTGCCTCCTGCCTGCTCCACAACCTGGGCATATTCCCTGACCCGGAATCGAACCAGTGACCCCTTGGTTCCTGGGTCGATGCCCACTGAGCAACACCGGCTGGGCAGAAACTTTAATCTTAATTTGCAGATCATAAACCAATATCCAGGACCTACTCTGTGGTCTAAAGGATGTTTACCTCCGACATGTACCCCCTCATGACTATAATTATACTGTACCTTCTCTTTTTTTTTAACCTTGGCAGGTTTAAAGTTATTTCTAACTTCCTCCTTAGGCATCTACATATTCTATTTGTGTTATGTTTATTACTTGCAGGTGACTTGAAAGATGGTAAAAATAAGGCTGACAAGAAGGATCAATCCAGTGTCGGAAATGACTCAAAGAAAGCAGATGGTAAGGGCAAAATTCTCATTACATTTTCCATAGATGTGCCATTTAATGCCAGCTTGTTAGAATTTTACCTAAAATTGAAATGGTGGTTGTTACTGTATCCTTAGATCCTGAAAAAGCACTTCACCACATTTAAAGTACTGTTATCCATTTTTTAATAATTTGTAAATTATTGTTGTATTTCTTCTCCTTCACCATACTTTCTCCATCACAGATGCATCCTGTACCTTCTTTTCCCACTGCCATTTTTCACTGTAAACTTTATAAAAAGTTGACTCTGGACTTGCTGATTATAATGGAATGGAATGTGAGTCTTTGATCATCAGTTGTACTGTATAAATGGGAAATGTTCCATATTTTCAGTTTTTGCATTTTTTAAACCTTTAATTAGTTACTACTTTGGGTAAAAACAAACACAGAAATCTGTTTTGTGTGATCGTGATGCCGGGAGGCCCACACACTGGAGAGCGACATAGCTGTAGAACTCAGGATGACAACCCCACCCCAGCGAGAAGCAGCCTCGCAATGCGCTTCATGAGCACGCCTTCCGCTTTCCAACATGCCACTCTTTCTAAAACGCGAGAGTTCACATTATATCACCCTCCAAACTTCGAGCTATCAGATTGAGAGACTTACTCTCACTTTTTACATAAACCTTCTGTTCCAGTGGTAGCTTGAGCTCATGTTCATCCGTGTACATAATATGAAACTAAAAATGAAAGTTTCCAGGTAGTGGATTTTGTTAGAGTCCCAGACTCTTTGAATCTGATCTCCTTGGAGACGTTGTAGTGGATGCTACGCTCCTCCTTGAATTCTTTGGTTGTAACGCCAGTGAAGAACCAGTGCTGGAAAGGCACGTTGAGGAATAAGAAAATATTTGAACACAACTTCTCACACACACTCACATGCAGGAAAGAAATCTTAAAAATTTCCCCTACGATCACTCAAATAATTCAGTCCAGGTGTCTTATCACAGAATATCTGGAAAGTGTCCAGCTGGTATGGCTTAGGGGTTGAGTGTTGACCCATGAACCAGGAGGTCATGATTTGATTCCCGGTCAGGGCCCATGCCCAGGTTTCTGGCTCAATCCCCAGTGGGGGAAGTGCAGGAGACAGCTGATGGGTAATTCTCTCTCATCATTGGTGTTTCTATCTCTCTCTCTCTCTCCCTTTTTCTCTCTGAAATCAATAAAAACATATTTATAAAAAAGAATATTTGGAAAGGACAAATGCAGTTTTTCACCAAATTGTGCAAACAAAAACCACTTACCTAGTAAATACACTGTCCGTGAATGATTATGACTAAGATGTGAATTATGTGAATGTAATATAGAATTCAAATAACAGTTTCTTACCAGACTCAGGAGTAAAGTTTGTTCAAATACTAGAGGTTTTTTGCCAGATATCATTTGCCAAGTCAAGGTAACACAAACCAGAAAATGTGTTAGCCCTAAACACATTGCCTGGAAACCCTGACCCAGCAACTTCGCCCATCCGAGTTCCTACAGCATAAGGCCCCAAATAAATCAAGGTTCAAATCTTTAAGGTGGAGTCTTGAATTTTGTTAATTTTTGTATTGTGCTACAAATATCTGTTATTATGTTGTCATGTGGGCATTGGGATTGAATTTTATTATCTTCGTTAAGTTCTTTTATTTCACCTGTGCCCCTTTTAACCAAATTGCCCCCTTCCCCCAAAAAAACATATAATTATTTTAAATACTTTTGAGAGGGCATATTAGTGCCCAGTGTGATCAAACCCGCTGGGATTTTAACATTGTATGCCTTTAGAAAGAAATTGAATGGAAAGTGAAGCAGAGTTGGTTTTTCCCAAACTCCAATGAGCTGAGGCAGGCAAAGAGGGAATGCGCGTGTGCCGTAAGAGTAAATTACATCCTGGCATAATGAACACATTGCAGTTGTATATTATCTCTGTCAGGCTCCTGAGGTACTAGTTAGTGCCCTGCCCACTAATTTTCTAATTGACTTCAAAGAATGAATTATACATCTGATAGGGGGTTAATTTCCAAAATATATGAAGAACTTCTACAACTCAACACGAAGAAAACAAGCAATCCAATGAAAAAAATGGACAGAGGACTGAGTAGATACTTCTCCAAAGAGGACATAGAGAAGGCCAATAATCATGTGAAAAGATGCTCAATGTCACTGATCATCAGAGAGAAGCAAATTAAAACAAGGATGAGATATCAACTCGCACCTGTCAGAATGGCTACCATCCATAATCAACAGACAGCAAGTGTTGGTGAGGATGTGGAGTAAAGGGAACCCTCGTGCACTGTTGGTGGAAATGCTGACTGGTGCAGCCACTATGGAAAACAGTACAGGGTTTCCTTAAAAAATTAAAAGTGGAATTGCCTTATGACCATGCAATTCAACTTCTGGAGATATATCTGAAGAAAATGGAAACACCAATTGAAAAGAATATATGCACCCTATGTTCATTGCAGCATTATTTATAAGAGCCAAGATTTGGAAGCATCCCAAATGCCCATCAGTAGATGAGTGGGAAAAAAAGCTGTGGTACATATACACAATGGAATATTAGTAGGCCGTAAAAAGAAGGGAGTCTTATATTTTGTGATAGGATGGATAGACCTGGAGAGTATTATGAAATAAGCCAGTCAGAGAAAGACAAGTACTATATGATTTCACTTACATGTGGAATCAAATGAACAAAATAAACTATCAAACAAAATAGAAACAAACTCATAGATACAGAGAACAGATTGTCAGAGGGGAGGAGGGTTGGGGGCTAGTACAAAAGGTTAAGAGATTAAGCAAAACAACAACAACACACCAACTCATAGACACAGATGATAGTATGGTGATTGCCAGAGGGAAAGGAAGTAGGGGGAAGTAGAAGAGGGCACAGGGGGGATAAGTGGTGATGGGAGGAGACTTGACTTTGGATGGTGAGTGCACATTGCAGTGTGCAGTTGATGTTATAGAGTTGTACACTTAAAGCCTGTATGGTTTTATTAACCAATGCTACCCACTATATTCAATTTTTTTAAAAAAAGAATTGATGTCTTTTTGAAAATACCTTGCTTCCTCTTAGAAATAAATACCTGGGCTTCTGAGCCAAGATTCTCTCAGGGCCTAAACTTTTACAGTGTCATCAAGAGACTTGTGGGTACCACATGGATGAATCATTTTTAGTGGGTTTTAGTCATATTTGAAACAGCCTAGCTTCTTGGACCTGTCATAATTTTTGTAGTTGTCCTTAACTATGGACTTGCCCTTAACTTTACTTGACTACATTAATAGAGATATGTGATAGCCACTGCTTGTGACTTTTAAAAGATTGATTAAATCCTCTTTAAATTGATCTATAGATTTCATGTAATCCTAATTAAAATCCTAGCAAACTTTTTTCTGGTAGAAATTGACAAGCTAATTCTAAAATTTATATGAAAATGCAAAACACCTACAATAGACAAAGCAACTTGCAGAAAGAAGGGAAAAGTTGGCCTGATTTCAAGACTGATACAGCTATAGTAATCAAGAGAGTATGGTACTAGCATCGAGATAGACAAATGGATCCATGGAGAGTCCAGAAATAGATCCACATGTTTATGGACATCTTTTTTTTTTTTGACAAAGGACATTCCATGGAGAAAGTCATCAATGAACCGTGATGAAACCGCTAGATATCCATTCACAAAATGACGAACTATCTCTGCTTATCAGATACAAACATTAATTAATACTTAAACTTTAATTAACGAAATAGATTATTAACCGAAATTGATCATAAAATGGACCATACACCTAAATTTAAAATGTGAAACTATAAAACTTCTAGTTAGGAACACCGGAGAAACTCTCTGTGGTCTCGGGTTAGGCAAAGATTTCCTATGCTGGACAGCAAAAGTACAAACCATAAAAGAACAAATTGATAAATTATGCTTTGTCAAAATTACAGACTTCTACAACTTCAAAAGCATCATTAGGAGAATGAAAAGACAGTCCACAGAGTGAGGGAGAATAAATTCAAAAGAATATTTGATTCCTTCTTATGTTCAGGATACAAGTCAATCTCAATATTCAATAAAAAGGAAACAGCTCAAGTAAAAACATGCAAGAGATTTAAACAAACAGCTAGCAAGCAAGCACATTAAAAGATCATTGAAACCATCAGGGAAATGCAAATTAAAAGCCAAATTTAAAAAAACCATATGGAGAGAAAACAAAACAAAACAAAGCTTACATGTGGGGAGAAGGTTTTACACTTGTAGATTATATTCATGTAATAATCGCTCAGCTTTCTACTTCACTGTGTCTGTCAGGAACTTGATCAGCTCATTACCTCATTGAGGAAATGGCATTCCTTGCAGCCACTCTTTCTATTTCTTAAGTTGCTGATGTTCTTCTCTTTAAGGTCTCAGCACAGGAGAAATGGAAGAGGCCGTAGAGCTAACATTCTTGTTAGTTTGTGTAGAGCAACTAATTGTGATTTAAAAGTTTGTTGTGTACATGAGAGGATTTTACCTGTGATTTAATCCTTCACAAGACTGACATCTCATGACCTTGACTTGCTACAGGGCTCACAAGAGTCACTGAAAAAAATGAATGTGTTTTTCCTGTTTTCCTTCCAGCTGGTCCCTATCAAGTTATTTTGAAATGGAATGAGTAAATGGAATGAATGACTTGGGATTTTTTTTAGATGTCTTTTGTTCTATATAATGACGTAGCAAGTTATTAATTAAAAAAACAGTGGCAGGATATAGTCTGAACCTTTACACTTGGGTTGTAAAAAATAATGTCATTTTTAACTAAACTTGAGACATTTTTGTCCTTTGCCTCAGGGGCAGGGCATCATGACTTGCTCTGATATGGAGTTAGTGGTGAGAGATAGATGGGGCCTGTATAGACCGGGAGGCATGCCCTGCTCTGCAAATCCAGGGGGAAACAGCCAAGCAACAGAGCGCAGGGAAAACTGAGACATATGTCTATCTGTACAACAGAGACTCGTCCTAA